AGATAACACCAGAGAATGTGGAAGCAGTACACTAGGTCATCCCAGAAAATAAAACAGTTTTTGCAGCCTCCTGTTATTTTGCAGGGCAGTTTATGCTAACGTGCAGGGGTCACAGCAGAGCATGCAAGGCAAAGATAAAGTTCTCTCCAGACATAAACACTGTGAGGCTAAAAGTGTCGCTCACCCTGTGACTGCACATGGTAATGCAGTCACACCACTCTGAAGTTTGAGAGGGACCAAGGAACCTACAAATAAATAGATAAATAGATAAAGAGCATCTATTTAAGCTACTGCTTGCTCCCAGCAATTAACCATGCAGACAGACATGCAAGGAATGTTTTTTAGTGTACTTTGAAAGATGTGAGATGGAGCATATGTCCTTGGAAAGAGACTCAGTGCAGAGGTAGCAGATCTAAGAGGATGTGGAAGAGCATCTTTGGCCGCAGGGGTCATACACCGCACATCAACTGTCCAGCTATCGAGGACACCGCACGCTGGGTCCACTCTTCTAACGCCCTGCTACAAGTCCTTCCCCCAGCACTGATGCCCACTCGTAGAAGATGGAAAAAAAGAGCACTTCCAAGCACATCAGCTAGAGGATTTGGGTTGCATTCCCAATTTATATAAGGAGGGTGAAAATAATTCCTTGCCAATTTTTGCGGCACTTTGTTGCTGTTTTCATGTTCTTCCCTGCATCACAAATGTCCAGTGCTTATGATCCTTTTCCAAATTATCAAGCTAATAATTGAAAATGCTATAATTAAATTGATTACAGATGAATACAGTGGAATAAAAAAGGGGAGACACATTTCTATTTCATACTGAACTGGCATTCAGCCCAGGCTATTTGGCATCATTTCAGGCTTGACCTGTGCGTGTTGCCTACAAGCCCTTCACGGCACTGAAGCCGTGCTGGTGGGTTGCTGCTTCCCCCTGTAGCTGTTGGCTGGCTCACAGGGTCACCCTCTTTGCAGTTAACACAACTTGCCCCCACCGCAGCACAGCAGGCACCGTGTCAGGCAGAGCTCTGTGGCTCGCTCCCGAGCTCTCCCAGCAGCCATCACACACCACCAGCTCATCGTGCACTGAGGAAGGGGACAGGGATCCTTCAGAGGTCACTTCTCAATGTCACAGGACAGAAAGATGCTCCAGCAGAGGGTAAGAAGCCCAGAAACCGCAGCACATCTCCAACTACCTGCCAGACGACAAGATTGGATCTGCTATTAGATTTTTAACAGAAGGAGCTTTTTCACACAACACAAATGGTGGGACGGACTGCCGCAGTGTGGTGAGAGTCAAGAGGTTCAAGAAAAGGGATTAGGAAGCTTCACAGAGAAGTGCTGCAAAAGCTGTAACAAATGTCTAAGTGCTTAGGAAATTTCTAACCTGCTGCTTACCAGGTGGTGGAAGGGCTCTGCATGGGCTGGACCCCTGGTACACCTTTCCCAAGCAGCCTCCACCAGGCTGTGACCCAGGAGATGGGGCAGGGGATCTCATCTAGTACAGGAGCATGTATGGCGAGAATTAGTTGTCCGCAGGTAAGGTAGAGCCTTGAGTAGCACAGGTAAAGGGTGCTGCTGATTGAAGCCCGTTATCTCAGCTCTGTATCGGCAGGAATCAGAGTCACTCTGCTGAAAGCAATGGCTGTCCTATGCTTTTCAAGAAAGCAGAAAGCTCCTGCTGGCATTCTCCATAATTGAGTGTTCCTACCACTCTGTTGGCACCAACACAAAAATTACAGCATGTGCGCTGAGGTCTCCTAAGGTAAAAGGCATCCTCAGGTAAAAGCTGAGCCGTGCTGGATTTGCGTAGCTCCTTTGCGTAACTCAAGGACATGTATGCAGAGATAATGCCCACACTAACTGCCCAGAACTGCACCCAGAGCTGCTCTAATTTTTGCTCTGACTCTTACTGGCCATGACCTGACCAAGTCATATAACCTGTTATGTCAAATAACACTGAAATACATTGCAGCAATTTTGTAAGGCTGAATATGTAATACCATGTGCTATAACCACACATATTGTAAAGTACAAGTAGCACCAAATCTGACCAAATCTGTAATTTCTTGCATTTTAGGAATATGGACCTGGCCCACAGGAGGGTGCTGCTCACCGGCACACGGCATATCATCGTCATCACATTGCTTATTACTTCTTATTATTCATGAGACAAACTGCAGCCTGGTTGCACAGAGCACTGAAGTCAGAACGAGGTGAAAGCCTGCTGCTGGCCGTGTATCGTCAGTCAATGCCCTGATTTATGTTGGCAGGAAACTTCCATGCAAGGCTACGTGTGTACCACACAGAGTGCGGGAGAACAGTGCACACAGCTGTGTATACGCTGCGCTTTACAATGGGGATTGGGCACAACTGCCAGGAAAAACAGGGACTGGGGACTCACTGCTCAAACGTGTGGCTTTTCTTTTTAAAATCTATAGCTGCAGCATCTTCTAAGGTATCAAGCATATGTCCAACAACAGAAAAAACATAAATATCATCTTTTAATGGTGATAACGAAATCCCAAAGATTTTACCATATTTGATAGAAAATTCCTGTACTAACAAATCTTCTACAATGACAATAAGGCACATCAGCATTTAAAAATGACAACTGATACAGCAGACAGAGACAGCGTAAAGGAGAGTCAACAACATGCAGAGGCTATATTCCATAGCTGATGGTAGGACATAAGAAGACGACTGACAAAATACAACTTTCATCACAAACGTCTGGTCGGTGAGCACAGCACTCAATGTGGAGCTGATGGCAACACATCTCTCCCCACGCTGGGCGCAAGGCAAGGTCCGTGTCAGCAAACACCCATCCAGCACGGACTGATGCCACAGAGCGAGACGGCTCCCCCAGCACCCTGGATTCTGCCACTGAACTGGCGGAAACGTTATACCTTATTTTTACTGCACAGATAAGTCACAGCAAAAAGGCGATCTTTTATACATACGATACAACTTTTCCACATTTTATTCAAATAAACTATTTTGTAAACTGGTTAGGTCAGCCGACCGATGTGATCTATTCCATTCCTGAGGCCCTGTTTGGTTAAGCTGATTCTCCAACTTGAAAAAACTACTCCAGGAAAAATTTGCCATTTTGTTTATTCTGCAAAACATTATGTCACAAATATCTAAAATTATTCTGAATTTAAAATAATTCAAAAATCATACCCCAGGACATACCAAGGTACCAGAGATGATGGTCAGGGACTCAAGAGGCTGATGAACTCAGAAGCATCATGTGCTTACCAGAAAAAGTGAGGCTTTACCTCTCTTTAACCATGTTTCAGCTGCATTTCAAATATACATAAAATTTATTTCCTTAATTCAAAAATTAGCAATAAAAAACTTGGACCCAAGTCCAGTCCCATTTCCTGTGGAGTCCTGAGATCATTTGGGAGCTGGACTAAGAGCTAAGTGCTTTCAGAGCTAGAAGGAGCTGGAATTCAAATATTTTTGGCAGTAAATTTGCTCAATGGAGATTTGATTCTCCATCCAATGCTGTAATATTTTGTGTATTTGCACATCAGAGAAAGAGCAATATGCCTTAGCTTATATCATTTATAGAAAATAAAATAGAAAATTACACTATGAACTAAATATATATATATATTTTAAATATTTACCATTTCATGTAGCCGGGGGCCACACTTTTAGCATTGTAATGATCTCAAAAGAAAATGCAAGACTCAGAATTATTTCCACTTCAGGTGGAACTTGATTGAACTAGTAAAGATCAGGTAGTTTTTCACATGAGCAGCTGATCCTACAAAGGCTTACAAACATGATAACCAAGTGCAAGTAATTCTTGGGACTTAACAAGGTCATTCACAGTGCAAAGTCTGCACTAAAGACATTGCTCCTTTTATCTATGCCAGCATAGTAGAAGTGCAAAGCCCTTCTAGTTTGGACAGTTACATCAATACTGAAGTCTCACAACGGTATCCTACATTGAGACTCAGCAAAACAAAATAAGCTACACAGATACAAAGCACCTTGTATGGCATTAGCAGTAGATGACTGCCACCTGTGTCACAGCTTCATTAGCTTAGCTATGTTGGTAAAATAATCTAAAAGAATGTAAATCACCTCAATCATTTAATCACTTTTCCAAAGCATGTGAAAAAAAAAAACACAACAGAAGATAATGCCCTGAAACAAACTATTTGCCTGAAGAGTTTCACCCTCAACTCAAAGGGTTTCCTCTTGTTCCAGTTTCTATGATCTTCTAGACCAGCAGTCTCCTACGGCCCAGCCGTGCTCCTCACTATGCTGGGAGCACAGGGAGGTTAAGGTCAGTGCTGAGCCTGGGTGAGTCCTGCGCCTGCCTGTGTGCCCGGCTGCAGGGCCAGCACGGGTGTTCCTGCACCGTTTCTGGAATGGAGACATGTGAGTGACATGACTTCAACCTGCCTAAAAGCCCTTTGCACCGGCAGCACTGGAGATGATAGCAGGCAGCTAAGCATGGTGGGGAACCGGGAGTGAGCACAGCCCTTGGGTGAAAGATTCAGGGAACTGGACACAGGGAGATGCACGGTGTTGCTGGTCTTCTCAAGGGAGGACTGGCCACAAAAAGACTGGACTCTACCAGGTAAGCATAGATCTAGGACCTGGCACTGGCAGAGTTCACGGCCAACCTCAGCACAAGGCCGTGGGAAGCAGCTGGGTATCGACCGGCTTAAAACCCTGGTGCAGCAGCCAGGATGCTTTCCTGCCTGTAATACCTCACCTCTGCACTTCAGACCCATTAGCAGTGGATTTTAATGCCTCTTGGCACGAGCCAGCAGAAGCGAGTGGAGACAAAGGAATTGCTGTGTTTCTTCCCAAGAGAGTAACTTTCCATTTATCACTGCAGCCCGACGGGGAAGGAGCGCAGCAGTCATGGAAGCTCTGCTGCCCTGGCTGGGAAAGCCATGTGCGGACTTAGATTAAAATTAGATAAAAATAAGTAAGCATGAAAACAGAAATCCCTTATATATGTAGCTCGGGACAGTGACTCATGCAGCAGCACTCAGCAGGAACTAGGTCCTGTGTTATTATTACAGTGTCGCAGTAGCCTCATAATAAAGACACCTCCAGGTTAATCTGTCGTTCCTGGGCGGCACTGTTACTCCTGCAGCTACACAAACCCTCGCACAGCCCCACACCGGGCTAAGGCTCCAGCGTGCTCATGGGGGGACATGCACAGTGGTGCTCCCCTGCCAGCTGCCGACAGCCCCCTTTCTCCCAACCCCAGAGGACTGGTGGGGTTTTGGCGTTGTTTTACACTCTCTGTTCAGGAGCTTTAGCCTTATCAAAAGATCTGGCATGAAAATTGAGTAGCAGGTCACATGTAATAGCAACATACACAAAGGCAATGATTCTTCTATTTACAGTCAATTATATGCAACGTCTCACACGAAAACACAGAAAGAAGTGTCAAGAAGGTGGAGGTGGGTCTCGCAGTGAATGAGAGGAGCAGATGGAGCTGCAATGCCTTACGAGGAAATCAGGATCACTAAATCGCACCAGACTAAGGTTGGCAATGTCATTATAAATCCAAAAATAAGCACCATGTGCCCCACTGCAGTACCTTTCCCTGTTTTATGAAGTGGACTGAAGATTATGTCAAAACATTCACACAAGTGAAACATTTATTAGTGCAACTGCCACATTAGGAGGAACTGACACTACTACCTATAGCAGCAATAAACTAAGAAAACAGAGCCTGACATTTACCAGGAGACTACTAAAGACATTTCCAGGGGTCTTTAGTATAGCTGAGACTGTGAGTGTTAATTTCCATAATGCTGTGTTGTTGTCATTAATGAATGTGCTAATGATCTCTTAATTCTTCATTTAGACTGATAATTGCTGATTAGTACATTTGGGAATGGAGATCAACTGATATATACCATCTTCCAGTCTGGCCTGGGGTTCTGAAGGTTGCACCTGGGATGAACATTCCTGTTCCAGATGGACACATAAACCCAAAAACAATCGTTCTGAGATTCCCTCTTCCTATAGATTACAAATTAAGCTGTGAGGCAGGGATAAGAGAAGGCATACAAGGCAGTGCGTATGGCAGATTTCCTCTTATAAAATCTGGTACACGTCTTCCACTGTTCACTTAAAACAGCAGAAGGCAGAACAGCCCTTTCCAGGACAGAAACAGGAGCATCACAAAAGCATAAATGAATATATAGAGCTGCTGCATCCATCATACAGCAGCAAAAGGTGTATATACATATATATGTACACACACATATATATACGTACACATATTTTTGTGTGTGTATATATGAAATTCCTTTATAAAACAAATTCTTTAGGACAACAGTTTTCAATCAGTGGTCCCTAATTCCTAAAGGTAAAATTGGATTACTTCTAAAGGGTCCATAAACATATTAAAGGAAAATGTGCTTCCTGCCAGTAGGCTTAAATCAGATTCATGTCTCTCTCAAAAAATTATTCTAGGCCTAAAAGGAAAATGGCTGAAAACCCACTGTTTTAAGAAATTCCAGCCATGACAAGCTCTAATCTTCACTTAATTCCAAAGGACTCTCTATTACACCGGACTCTCTGGCAAATGGCGTTTATTTCTGTTCCCTTTTAACCAGGGCTGTGTGCATTAATATAGACTTATTAATACTATGACCTCTAGATGTTATCTTAAATAAGAACATGAAAAGTTGTTCTTTTGGTTGGCTGGCTGCTTTTGCTGTTGCATTTTAATATGGTTTCTTGTGTTTTGCTTGAAATGGAATTTGGAGGGTATATTGCTAGTCGTGGCTGCACAAACAGCACTGAGGCCAAATACGATATGCTCTAGCTAAACATAAATCACTTCAGTATATCTTTTAGCTGTAATCTAAATTAATTATTTGAAAATCAATTTATGGCTGTTTTATTGTACTTTTATGTAAACAAATACCCACGAGCTACAAATATGCATCCTGCTAGCTGTAGAAAGTGCATACTTCTTGGAAGTGACATTGCTATTCCTTCCCTTCCTGGCACAGGTAGAAATGGATTTGAAAAAACATCTTTTAATAAGTAATTACTTTTTTCCCCTTCTCAGTAAGAATTTGGCTACACAAACCTGTGCATGGTCACAGGTCAAACAATCTCCACCTGGGCAGCATGGAAAGAGTACAGGAGAGAAGAGTTGTGAGTGTAAAGAGGAAAGAATCACCCAGAGCAATTTCTACTTTACTTCCATTCCACCCATGGCTGACCTGCCTTAGAGGAAGCCTCCTGGCCGGCTGCTCATCCCTCCTTTCCCTCTCAGCTGCCCATGCCTGAGGGGCAAAGGGGTGAGAACAAGTAGCTGCAGGTAGGCAGGAACATCTGCAGTAAGAACGTACACTACTTATTGTTTGCTGTGCTGTAATTTTTCATCTGGACTTTGAGAAGAAGGCACTGCTTCTAGCACTGTTCTGCTTTGTTGAAAAATATTAGTTAAAATCAGCGTTTAAAAATGGTATCGAGGCTTTTGTTCAAAGTTCTAGAGATGCTTTCTGGTAATGTGAACAAACTGTGCTGAAAAGGGACTCCCCCAGGCCATGGCACTGCCATCAGCCAAATGCACATGCATAGGTCTGCACCGCTCCCCTGCCACCAGCCCGTCGGTGGCCAGGCACAAACCCCTGCAGTGACAAGCTTCCCAAGCTGGCACCCAGCTGCGGGAGCTGCCGCGGGTGTGCCAGCTCTCTCTTGACACCAACACAATGGCTCTGAATAGGAACTCAACGCAACGTATGGTGAGGAATTAAAACATAATTTCCATCCTGCACTCGCTCCCTACATAGGCGTTAACCCCACTCACTGCTTTTATACGGCTTAGGCTAATCCACTCTGGTAATACCAATTCAGTAATTATAATTATCTAAACTGCATAAGGCATTCTTAGCCCAGAATAAAAAAGTTCACGCAGGAGGTTAGTGCAGAAAAGAAAAAATTCAGCAGTACCTATTTGGGATTCATCTCCTTGTATGCCTTAAGGCTGAGAAAGAACAATATTTGTGTTTTTTGAATACTGCAGGAGCTTTAGCATTTTCTCTCTGATACTTGGAGACTTGTTTCCTTAACAATGCCAGTTCTAGAACACACAATGCACGGATCTCAGTTACGTGCTCCTTTTCAATATATGCTACAGCCACCCCCCACCTCCCCCAGTATTTCTATATGCTGCTATGATGTCCTAAAAACTGTAGTAAGTTCAGTTAACATATAAAGGTTGTCAGGTCCTGGGACTTATCTTTCTGCTATCTAGTCCTTCTCTTGAGGTCCCAGCTCCTAGAGTGAAGTGATACATGACATTTCAGCTTTCATAGAAAGAAGGGAACAGTTAATGGTCCTAGCTCAGAAAAAAAAAACAATCCTAAACTCAAAATATACTTCTTTTTAGAAAACATTTCACGATTCATGCTGCATTTTATTCCTTTTTGACTCCTAACTCATTATTTTCGAACGATTAAGGATGAGAACATTGTCTGTATACAACACCTTTTCCTGCATACAACACCTTAAAGACTTCAATGCTGATATCAAAACTCAGAAGGGAACTGAGACATGGAAAGTTCAACAGAGATGAGAAATAAGATGAAAAACCATATGAAAACTCTTAAATTCACAGATTGGCCATAACCAAGTTAAGAATTGCCTTCATTCAGTACCACCTATTGAATCACTATACCCAGCAGGCAAATTTAAAGCATCAAAACAGACTGCATAGTAACCACTGTGTTAAAAACAACTCTGCCTCTTTTTATCTGAGTGCATATATATTGCATAGACATACAGACCCACAGCCATTTTTTTCCCAGGCTTTGTTCCAGCTTGCTCCCTTTCCACAACTAGTTCTTAGAAGCACTGGTCCCACTGTGCCCCTGTGCACCCAACGCGAAGTCCACAGCCTGGTGCACACTGTGGAAGAGAAGGTGGTCCTCCCCCTCTTTAAAGAATTCTCCTCGGATCAGGGAACTCCTCACTGAAGGATTGCACTGGGCCAGTAGCACCTGGACACCTATCTCCCTGTAGTCCTTGCAGACTTCTTTGAGCGTGCGTATTCCTGCCGTGTCCAGAAACTGTACTGCACAACAGTCAATCACTATTGTGTGAAACCCCAGAGATTCAGAGACAAAATCCATGGAGATGCTGGTCTGGTTGCCACCAGAATCCACCTCTTTCTCTCTAAGCATTCTTTTTGCTGCCTTTTTCTTTGCTGCCTTCACCCAGACTGGGTTGACCCCAGTTTGCTTGTACAGGGTGGATTTAAAGCACTCTTTGTTGATGTAGTAGAGGGGTGCTTCAAAACGGAACACCACGATTCCTGGCTTGGTTTGCAAGTTCTTGTAAGCAGACAGGGATTCATACGTTTCAGACTCTGCCACCCAGCCAAGCAGCGGTGCCTCTGGTCTCTGAGTTCGGAAAATGACGCAGAGCATAGAGAAGCAAACACCAACCAAAAGACCAATCTCAGTACTGATGAGTGCTGAGGCTGCCATAGTAACTAGCCAGATCACTGTGTCCACTCTGCTCAAATGCCACATTTTTGGCAGGTCCTTGAACTTCCGCAGGGCTCCTCTGAGGTTTACAATAGTTATGACAGCAAGGACACATTTCTGAAGGGAATAAAATAAAGGTGCAATCACAAGGAGAACTAATAGGATTACCAAACTAGTCACCATGCCAGACATTTGTGTCCTACAGCCTGTGGACTCTTTGACAAGAGTCTTGGCAAGAGCTGCGCTTGTTATGAAGCAATGGAAGAAAGAGGGAATGATGTTGCAGAAGCCAATGGCATACATCTCCTGGTTGGCCTTCACAGAGTAACCATGCTTCTTGGCAAACATTTCTGAGAGGGAAACAGTGATGGCAAAGCCAATAATAGCTATGGGGATAGCATCCAAAGCCACATTAGGAATCAGGTTCCAGTCTGGAGGGCGGGGTGGCAGAAACCCAGTTGGGATGTGTCCAGCAACGCTTGAGCCGTAAGTCTCTCTCAGCTTCCCAAAGTGAGATGCCAGAGTAGCTGCCACAATCACGACTAGTTCAACTGGTATTGGAGCCTTGAGCCTGGATTTAAAATGTTCATTAAGCTCTTTGGTTGGGATAAGTACAAGAAAGCACAAGAAGCTAGTGATGAGATCACAGATGTTGGTCTTGTGTATGTTTCTGAAGATGTTTATCCATGTGGCTATGAGGGAGCCGATGCCACTGCTCCGTGGAATGTCTAGGCCCAGGAGGTACTTGGCTTGTGAAGTTACGATGGTAAAGGAGGCACCCGTGACAAATCCACTCAGCAACGAATCGGAGAGGTACACTGAGACAAAGCCCACTTGAAAGAAACCCATGGCCACCTGGAAGGAATCAACCACACACAACAGATTAGGACGCAAATCTTACAGATGTCATCACTGTGGGACTCTGGAGGGAGGTGAGATAAAAAAAAAAACACTGCATGGCCCTGGAGGACAAGGCATGGTCTGAGCATGGAGAAAACAGTCTCCAGCATTCAGCTGCTCCTGGTACACCGCACCTAGACGAAATGCATTTCTAACACAGAGCAGGCTTTTTTGGGGGTCTTCGTACTCTGAACCTGTGTTTGTTGTTTGCTCATCGGTTCAGTTGTAACTCCTAGTTGCCCTAGCAGGCAAAGAAACCTAGGGAAACAAGCATTTGAAATACTGGCTACTTCTGCCATTTCTCTCTCAATAATGAGAAATAATGTCTGTGAACTTTGCAGCGATCCAAAACCTTTTTGGTTGTCTTTGCCTTACACTTGAGCTCACAACCTGCAATAAAAATATAGCTTATGGCATAACAGCTGTCCTTTGAACTGCATAAAGTTTGGTGCATGTGATTCAGAAAGTACATGAGCTGCAAACTCTTGTGATGCAGATTATACAGAGATAATTTTTTAAAGTGTCGTCATTCATTTTCATTAATGCTAGTTGAATGGACAAATCCTTGGTGCTCTCTTATGGGAATGACTGGTTTTATGGATACCTACCCTACACATGCATCTTCGCACCTGGTAAATGCCCCTTTCTCCCCATCAACCTTCATGCCAAATGGAGCATGAACCTTCTCACAGCATTTGCTAGAAACCTTTTAATTCCCTGAGCTAGACAACAGGGCTGTCTACACTGTTATCTGAAGACTGCAGGCCAGAACTTACAGGTATTAAACTTTAAGTAGCATCAATTCGATATATCCTGCTAGGTAGTTAAGGCAAAATAAAAAAGGCTAGGATCATGGCTGGAAACTTCAGAAGAACCACAAAGCATTACTGAAGAGAAGGCAGGTTTGGGACCTGGACTTGACTGGACATGGGCTCAGACCCAAGCTCTAAAAAAGGCTCCCTCGCAACCTTGGTAATTAAGTTAATTCAAGGTTTTTCTAGATGTAAAACATTAGCAATAATTGCCTTACCTAGTTATGCGGTAGGCAACTGGTGTGAGCAAGCTTGCTTTTTGTGATTTGATTGTAAAGTTTCTGATACAAGGAGTATGTGATTTTGGTTGGAGCTTCCAACAAAAAAAATATTTGAGGGTGTGAAGACCTATTGGTTAGCAGGCAGAGAGACAGCAAGTAGACTATGCCTAACATTCAGAGGGACTTAAGATAAAGTAATCTGACTTCTTCATATAAAGAAACTTAATTGTACTTGTTCTTGCAAAGAACATTAAGCGCAATTCACAACTCCAAAACTGCGTTCATCCTACAGTGATGAAACACAAAATCCAGTGTACCTCAGGAGGCCCAGAATATTTCTGAAATTACTCAACACTAATTTGCAGTACAAGAAAAAGTCCCAGGTGTTTTAGAGTATCACAGGTATGTTTTCTTTTCCTCTTCTCTACAGTTTGATTAGCTATCACCCTGGAGGTCACTGTAGGAACAAATGAATGTGAACTCATAAACTGAAATACCACAGCTCTGCAGTACCGTTAAAACTAAATCCATTCTGGTTAATGCATGACACTCTAAAAACAAAGAAAACTGCTTTAATTTCAGCAAGCAGTGAATTCTAGGAAGTAGAGAGTGGTAAAATATTGTTGAGTAATACATTTTAATATGGTAATAATTAAGAAGTTTTATTTCAAATATATTTTATCATCTCAGCAGTGTCCTTTTCATACAAGGGCATTGTTTTGGCTTTGAATGGGCAAACAGCAAAGTTTTACAAGCACAGTGACAAATAAAAAGAAACCGGAGATACTTTTACCATCCAGATTATTTTTTGATAAAAGAAAAGGCAAATGACTGAAGTCTGGAATTAAAAGCTGCCACACCACATTTTGGCCCAATGAAGGCCTAAGCTATAAGCCAGCAAAAAACAAAAAAACCCAGAACAACAACAACAAAAAGCTTCAGGCCACAGTGAGGAAGGTGGTGAGCAGATTGTGCGAGAGCAGCAGGTGGTTACGTGCAGGTCCTTACAGTCCCCCAACAAAGTAGCAATGCAAGCACAAAATGCTGTTAAAAATAAGGAGAGGACACAGAGCCGTTTCTTGCACAACAGTAACTGGAGACCTCCAGGCCTCCCTGCGTCCACTTCCCTGGGATGCAGATTGAGGACACGTGCAAGCCCAGCAGGCTGTTCACATGGACAATCACCTAAAGAAGAATTATAACTATTTCCACAGAATACCTGTTTGTCCACCTCCTCTTACCTGATAAACTCCAGCTATGAAGGTCATGGTGGCTCCCACTGTAATTGCATAGCAGCTTTTATCACAGAGCAGCTTCTGCGATGTCTGATTCACAGGCAAAATGGTGGTGTTTACATATGCTGCTGTATCTGTGAGGACACTGAGCGCAGCTGGCTCTAAGTCATAGCCAGCTCTCTGTATTTCACGATCCACCACTTGTCCCACCATCAGGCAAATCACACCGAAGATGCCAACTGAGATGTGGCGGGAGGTTCCAAATATGAAATAAATAATGCTAGCAAAAAAGGATGTATAAAGGCCATAAATAGGCTCCTGCCCAGCCAAGAGAGAATAGGCAATTGACTGTGGGACTAGTAAGACGCCCACAATCACACCAGACATTATGTCTCCCAGTAGGTACTCTCTTAGCTTGTATTTAGGAAGCCACTGCAAGACAGGAAAGAAACTGAAAACATAGTCTTTAACTTTGGCTGGAGTGCAGCTGCAAGTTTTCTTTGCTTGCTTAACCACCAGAGCCTTCATGCTCCTCTTCTTCTCTTGGGGTTCCAAGAACATTCTGTGATGGAAACTACGTTTAGCATCGTCTCCTTCTGGCATTTCAGCCACTGAACGAACGTTGTTGAATTCTGCCATTGCTGCCATCTCAAGGGCTCCCTAAAAACACAAAGAAGGACCATTTCCATTAAAACATAACTGAATGCGCTACATGAGACTTTTTAATGGAGTGAATACAGTATTTATGAAAAGCAAGGGCTAAAAGACTTAATTAAGCACAGAGAAAGCAATTTCCAAGCAAACTTGGAAAAAGCCTCCCCATTTTATGCCTGTTAAGCAAGGAATCACCTTCCCTAGCAGGCTGATATCCCGTAGAATAAACCCACTGCTGGCAATGTTGTGAAATGGAAAAGAATGCAGCAGCACTGTCTCTCTGGGAGGCTTCCTTGATAAAATCACTATCTGCAGCCTGTTCCACCATGCAAAGATAGACACAGGGTTTATTGTAGTCCAACAGTCACTTCAATTCAGTTGCTGAAAATTAACTACAATTAGTAGATCTCTAGCATTGCACAGCTTGGTCTAAATCTTATTTATGGGTTGTTTTTTTTTTTAAATGCAGTGATTACACCTGCCAAATATTGTAAAGATTTTTTACCTAAGGAGGTGCAATCTTTACCCAGTGGCTTTATTTCAGCCAATGAGACATTGCAAGGAATGCTCTTCACACTTTATAAAAGCTGTTTTTCAAGTAAATTACATCTGACCAAAACAATACACACAAGTGGAAAACATATTAATGGGCACAACATAATGTAGGCGGAACACTTCTGCCAGAACACTTGCTCTAGTACAGGCTGCCTACAAACAGTAAAACAAGGTGATTATATCAAAGCACATTTAATACTGGAAACATGTTGCCTGAATGTGAAAGAGCACAGCCTTGACGAGACAAGCCCTAATGAAACTTGATGATACCAACAGTGATTACCAGCATTCATACAGCACTCTCGGTTTCCAGACAACATCCAGAATCCTCCAGAAAACTCTCTTTTAGCCACAATAACTGCTACTACTAGTACGTTGAAGTTACATTTCAGCTGGAAACCCATTCGCCTGGTGCTACAGTGGATTCAAGGCCACAGACAGCAGCAGAACCCTGAAAAATCCAACTCTCAGGCTTCCCTTTCAAACACTGCCTTGAAGTCCTGGTGTGCTAATAACAACACCCCCCTTATGTGCTAATTACACCTTCTCTGTGCAGTGCAAACATCAACCAAACTAATGTTCTATGCACTGTTTACGACTGAATTAATTACCAAATCAGTATTGGAGCTGGCCATGCTGAGGATGCCACTGAAGAGTCCATCTCAAAATTTGTTCACTTAGTCAACATTTCACAAGTAGCTATAAAACATTCACTGCTACTATCACTTCAGTGTAAGTCTCTCAAAAACATACAAGGGGAGAGGTGACAGAAGTGAGTTTAAGCGTGGTGCTTAAACTACCCGTTTCCCCTGCAGTCAGCCCATTACAAGGCACTGATCCTAGAGCTATGCAGAGAGGAAATGTCTTCTTTTAGACCTCGGTCTAGCTGGCTGGAGTGTACGACTTCCATGCTTCCATCCCAGGTTTGATGCTGTCATATGGAGGTATCCAAAGTGCCGTGCATCAGCCCTATATAATGGTTTACACACAGCCATGCCTCCAGCAGTCTGCTAGCTCAGAGATGAACTGCCTTCAGTTCTTCTAGCTAGAAAGACAGTATCAACCCAAGTACCTACTGTCTTAAAACAGCCTAAGCAAATGATCCTAACCACATCAAAGGAACCCACGTGAGAGTAGAGGCAGCTACAATACTTAATGTTTAGACTGGCTTCTCTTTCCAGATAAAAATATTCAGAGATTTCTAGAACAGCCTTCCAATTAGAAAGCAATTCAACTGGAGTAATCCAACTCTTCCACCTTACACTGTAGCACACTTCTCCCTAGAGCTACCAGGCTAGAGCATGCAGAGGGCTATCTAAAGTCAACACATGGGACAGATGCTGATACATAACCAACAAAAAATACCAGAGGCAGGGGTTCGCATTTTATCTTCTGCTCCATGCCGGGACTCCCAAAAGGTGTTTTCATTCACTACAAACCCATAAACAGTGAGTGCCTCTCTGGTGGGTAAGCTCCTGCATCCTTTCAAATAACCAAACACAGCTCACTCTTTGCCAGCCTGCCACTGGACTGCTACTGAAAGGGAGCTCTGTTTTGATCAGAGAACTCCCCGGCTCCAAAACTGAATAGCACGATGGCATCAGCAGGGATAGATTTTCTGCATAAGGTGGGGGACGTATGCCTTCCTGTTATCACCTGTACAACTCATGCTCTGTTACATGCCGGGGCAGACTAAACAGCATTGCCAGGTCTCACGCTCTGTGCGAGATACTTTGTGAATACCTACCTCTCATTCTCCACATCTACCAGGTATTTCTAGCAAGGCATCAATGCTTTTCTCCAGCTCCTACCCTGTTCCATACTCCCATATCTCCAACTCTATGCCTAATTCATCTGAACCATGCATGGGGTCTGCAGGGTGGTCGGGAAACCAGAAAGATAAAAATAGCTCTAAGCACAACTAGGGAGAACACGCCTCTTTGTGGCTGCTGTTCTGCACACAGACAGAGGAGCAGCTTAGGGAAAGTCACAATTCAAAAAAAAAAAAAGGAAAAAAATGAACACTGCTGGGTTAGGTGAGACCTAAGTGGAAAATTCCATAGTTTGAACTCAAGTCCTATTTCTGGTATCTATGTCCTTCTTTTGGTCCTGGTCCTTATAATTGGAGAACTGAGAGTTCTGGATCCAAAGATTAGTCCACCCAGAACTTTAATACATACATATTTTTAGGGGTAAATTTTCAAATGTATTTATTTGTCTCCATATTTGGTCTTGTTATACAAGTCAATCCCTTAGTACACTGGAAGGAAAGAGAAGAAAGCTTCAGTTTTGCCTACCTGCCTTCTTGATTATTCCAAACTTCTATCTTACAGCCTCCTGGCCATGCAGAATTACTGTATCACATACCTATATACACCTTATAATGACGAACTTCGCTTGGCTAATGACTTCCAGGTCAGTACCTTTATTGTGTTTTAGGTAACTATAAGCTCAGAAGAGCATTATGAAGAATTAGGATCTTTACAATGAGGAAACGTGTACTTCAAGAAGTGACATACTCAAGATCACATAGTGATCACGCTTGGAGGAGCACCCATCCCTACCTTCCAGATATCTAATCTCACCCACCTGTACAGTATTGCAAAGTCCGCTCAGGGATTATTTATAGCACTTATAAAAAAGCAAATACTACACAGTGAGAATGAAGTTAACATAGCGTACAAAAGCATATGTCCGCAGTACTCTGCATAAGTGCATTCTGTAGTTGTATTTGCTCAAGCAGTTTTATTCATTTCACAAGCACAGAGTTGCAAATAAAAAAGCTTTTCACCCAAAGCTCAGCAAATCAATACTGTAAAATCTAGGGGAAAAATTCACCCCCAGACTACTTTTTATGTGTAGCAAATTACCTGAATGAGTTTGTTTTCTGAGATTTTAGTAAAGATTTTAGTGATGAAAATCCTTCTGATTACCCTCTCCCTCATCCAGGACTTGTAGACAGCTCACTCAAACCTGGGAGTTTTTCTTAATGTGCCAGCAAACTCCAACACGAAACCCAGATAGTTCAGTTTAGTTCCGCACAGTGCTGTAAAATATCTGCATAGTAGGTGATACCCGGGTTTTTTGGTCGTGTCTAGACAGTAGAGAAATGTTCTAAGTAAAAATCTTTTTGGCTGCTAAGCTCTGGACATATACTGGATCTTTGTGTTGACCTGCATGACAGCTTTGTCTACGTGGCTTGAAAAGGGCCTTTCATCACATAGTCACTGCCTCTCGCGATGTCAGGACGCTAGGAAATGACACAATTTCCAACACCTGTTTCACCCTTTTCTGCCTGAAAGCATTGCTCTGTATTATTTTTGTAACTGTTTAGCCCAAGCTTGCCTAGTAAAACTGGATTTTGTTTTTTTTAAAAAAAAACAAAACACCCTTTGGTTCAGTATGCTGAAAGACATTCTGTATATTTAACTTGGAAAGGTTAAAAAACTGTCATTTTTGTTTTGAAAGCTCCTATTTACGTACAACTCATCTGTATGCCTCAAATTCACTTTTATCAGCTCCTTTTGGCCTGAATAAGATCTTCAGGGGATGTCTGATTGCCACAAAGCTTTACTTAAGGTACAAAGAAAAAGACTACCACACAGAACTGAGGACATTTCCAGTATCTCTCTGTTATCAAGTGACTGCCGTAAAATAAAGATATGGGAAGGTACTACATTTTTGAGATCTGATGACTTTTACAGACTGTTTCTGGATTCCATCTGGGCCTTTCTTACTGATCCCGTAACATGGCAGAGGTGAGCTAGCATCTGTCTTTGGGGAAACACTACCTGCAGCACAGGGCCTTGCTGGCTCAGACTTCATTTTTCTGTTGCAGATCACAGTCACCTTGACAGTAAGAGAATAATGGATTGTGAAGCTCACTCACCTGCTGAAATAATGTATTACAAGCTTAAACTTAAGATGTGAGCATTTGAGAGTAGAGACAAAATCAAGAGTGTTCTTTCTATTACACCGATCTCAGTTTTTCAGATTATTTTTCTAAATTTCATGTGCATGAGTCGTCACTGTACCTACCTGTCGCCTATGATCACTACCCACCCTCACGTACCCACTTGCTGGCCATGAGAAGTTAAATGCATTTAAATACTAATGCATAAACACATAATCTAAAGAGACATGAAAAATTATTGAAGAGATGTAAAGGAAAAGCAGGGGGATCAGAAATCCAAGTTCCACATGAACTGAATCGGAGTTGGGCTACTACCTCTGGGTCCTCGGAAAATCTCACCCTAAGAATATAAAAGAAAAGCATATCACAACATTTTGTGATAACTAAATCTTTGTCCTTACTCTTGTTGGACAACAGCCTTTTCCAAATAATCTCTTAACTGTTGCGGAGCAACAAGGAAATTCAATATTGCCATGATAACACCGAGATAGGCACTGGAATAGCATTGTATGTACCTTGGAAGAAAATTC